GAGTGTGCTGGTTAGGAGCGCAGCCTCTAATCTGGGAGAACCGGGTTTGATTCCCCACTTCTCCGCATGCAGCTGCTGGTGTGACCTTGGGTCAGTCACAAGTTCTCTCAGAGCTGTTCTCTCAAGGGCGGTTCTCAGAGAGCTCTCTCAGCCCCACCTACCTCACAGGGTGTCTGTTGTGGAGAGGGGAAGGGAAAGGAGATTGTAAACTGCTCTGAGATTCCTTTGGGTAGTGAAGGGCGGGGTGTAAACCCAATCTCTTCTTCTCTTCTTACATCATTGATTGTAACGATAAAACTTTTTGGTCCTATATTGCTTAATTATTTGTATTCTTATTGCAATATTGAGCCTTATTGTACTATCTGGGCTTGACCACTGAAGAAGGCCAATTGGGCCGAAACATGTCAGGTCGCATTAGGTTTCATTACACCTTGTACTGAGGGAGGCTATAGTTGGGCCCATAACTGTTTTCCAATTATCTTGTAATAAATAGATGTATTTTTTATAATTTTGCACTATTTATATGTTTACATTTCACATTTATTGTTTTTAGGAATAGGCCTTCATAACTGTATTTATCTAACCTTCCTGGTTCTTAATTTAAGCTTCTGAGAGTCAAACTTCCCTTCATCGCTTCCTACTTGTATCTGATGAAGGGAGCATTGACTCTTGAATGCTTATGCCCTAGAAACCTTGCTGGGGTTTAACTTGCTGCTGGATTTGAATCTTGTTCCTCTAGTGCGGACCAACGTGGCTACCCACCTGGAAAAACAAAGTTTTGATCAAGAGTTTTAGTTCGGCATCAAATGTACAATGACATTTTGCACTTTTGAAGAATATGGTAGAGCTACAAAAATACCCCCAGTTGCTTATTTTTAAGGCTGAGGAGAACTGTGAACAGGCAGAGAGGAAGGCTTCCAAAAAAGCTGTGTAATCCATGAGCTTGTCTGCCCAAGCTGTGGGAAGCTTCTCAACCCAGTGGCTTATCTAAATGCTTTTTATGTATTCTCTGTGAGCTAATCTCACCCGGCCATTGTTTTCTTCTTCCTTTTAGCTTAGGGTTGTTGGAATATGCAAAGTCAATAATACAACCTTATGAAGAAGATCTGAAGATCACCCTACGGGGGACACCTAAAGGACTGGTAGTTAGCACAGCTAGATGTCAGGCTCCCTATGCATTTTACAGCTTGCCTGCCATTGAGAGAAGGTTCCTCTCTCTTTGATGTGCCAGAGGCCTGTCACCTTAGCGTGGGAGGGGGTAGGCGACAGTTTTGGAGGGAGGGACGCTCTGGGAGAGACGTGCTTGGGGGGGGAAGTTTACTGTTAATTCTGGCAGGCAAATACCGTGGGGTGACTGGGTCCTGATCTTTAGTGCCTTTACTTGAACACACTATATCCGTAACCTTCACGTGGTCAACTTCAGTCCTAACAATAGCTCGTGTCCAGTATGGTATCTATCGATGTCTCAATAAAGTTAGCTTTCTTCGAAGTGACTGGTGTTTAGAACTGATTTAACCAGGATCCTGACACTAGATTAGGGACTGCCCACAATTTCAAATTGTGTCCTTCCTGTCTCCTGATTGGCTCTTAAGAACATAAGAACATAAGAACATAAGAGATGCCAATGTTGGATCAGGCCAAAGGCCCATCCAGTCCAACACTCTGTATCACACAGTGGCCAGAAATACCAGTGCCATCAGGAGGTCCACCACTGGGGCCAGGACATTAGAAGCCCTCCCACTGTTGACCCCCCCAAAGCACCAAGATGACAGAGCATCACTTGCCCCAGAGTCCCTATCTATACCTTGTGGCTAATAGCCACTGATGGACCTCTGCTCCATATGCTTATCTAATTCCCTTTTGAAGCCGTCCATGCTTGGAGCCGCCACCACTTCCTGTGGCAGTGAATTCCAAGTGTTAATCACTCTTTGGGTGAAGAAGTACTTTCTTTTATCCGTTCTAACCCGACCGCTCAGCAATTTCATGGAGTGCCCACGAGTTCTTGTATTGTGAGAGAGGGAGAAAAGTACCTCTTTCTCTACCTGCTCTTTCCCATGCATAATCTTATAAACCTCAATCATGTCACCCCTCAGTCGTCCTCTCTTTTGGAGACTTCCTGCTCCTGCAGAGCTTCCTTCTTGTTCCTCTCACAGCAGTTAGGCAGTTAGGGCTCCTTCTCTCTTCTATGGTCTACCTATGGTCTTCTTTAATAAACCTACTTGCTTAGCTCTAAGCAGTCAGTGCTCTACTTACGCAGTTAAGCTCTGCCAAAAACAGTGAACACCATGCCCCCTCCCAAAAAAACCCCTTTGTTCCCCAAAGTCTCAGTAGGAAATGCATTTCCATTACGCAAATATCCCATCTGGGTAACAGAGAGAGAATATTGGCTTTGCATAATACCTCATGTTCCTTAATAAGTCCTTTGGTTTTCCCAGCGTTGAGCAGTTTCTTCTCTTTATTTAATTGCTTGTTGAGCTTTGAAAAAATCTTACTCAATTTCCATTTTTCAACTTCCATTTTTAACTGGATATATGATACAATCTCACGATGAACCGCCTGCAAAACATGGAAAGTGTTGTCAAGGACGCACCGTAACTGAAAGGAACGGTCGCTTATGAGGGTTCCACTAACCAAAGGGAACTTTCACATCAGTGTTCCCTCTAAGCTGAGTTAGTGTGAGCCAGCTCAGTTTTTTAGCCTCCGGCTCATACATTTTCGTCTTAGCTCAGGAAGGATGGCTCCAGAGCAAACTAATTTATGCAGTAGCCAGATTGCTCACTGACAGCTTTAATGGCAGTAGTCCACAAAGTAGAAATTTTGCTCCACAGCTTAGAGTCAGCCTCTGAATACCAGTACCAGGAACGAACACTGGGGAAGGCCTTGGCCTCTCTGCCCTGTTGTGGGCCCTCCAGAGGAACTGGTTGGCCACTGTGTGAGACAGGATGCTGGACTAGATGAACCACTGGTCTGATCTTATTTCTTACATTTTATACCTTTCTTTCCAGGAGCCCAAGGAAGCATTTTATCCACACAACAACCTTGCAAGGCAAGAAAAGTCAAGCAAGCATAACTTGACCATAACCACCCGGTCAGTTTCACAGCAAAGCCAGGATCTGGACCCAAGTCTCTGCGGTCCAAACCAAAAATGTTATGTTATGTATTGTCTTAATACATATAGTGGAGTTGGACTTGCGCTTCAGTCCACCGCTCCCCAGAGGCTTGCTATCCTAAACTGCACATTCTGATTGGCTACTTTGCACAGGGAGCCAATCAGAGCTTAGGGATGGGTTTGGAGGGAGCAACAACTACTGGTCATTATCTATAAGTTATGATTGGTGGCGTGGTTTGCCCAGCCAAAAGAGTATAAGTTGAGCTACTTTTACTGTATTGCTGTGTTGTTGATTGTTATTGTTAATAAAGCTGAATCACTTGTTTAAGAGCTGCCTCCAGACTGATATCTTATATGTTCTATCCATTATACTGCACTGCCTCTCCAAAAAACGCCTTGGAACATCACATCAAATGAGGAAGCAGTCAAGAGGCTGAGATCTGATTAAAATGCCACTCAGATCTCCCCGGTACATTTTCTCACCTCCCATCTCTCACAAACATCTTTGCTCCTTTCTTCCACTGCTGCCTTTTCAGGAGCAGGCAAGAGATCTTTCCATTGTTCCGCTGCTTTCAAAAACTTGCCAAGGATTTTGGCATCCAAGATGCTAAAAGCTTCCTGAAAGAAAATGGGGGGGGGGGAATTAAAGGATCTTATTTGAGACACAAAGTATCACCTACAAATAGAAGAACGCCCAAAAGGGGTTCTTTTCTGCACTGTTCCCACAAAGTGAGGTGCAGGGCTATTACGTTACGATAGCAAAGGAAGAGATTTCCAAGGTTTAGTTTGAACCCATTACTGGAGGTGAAATGCCCACTCCCCTCCAGCACTACTGCTTCACACACCTGCTAAACTAGTTCCCAGTTTGGTGTAGTGGTCAGGAGCATGGACTATAATCTGGGAGAACCGGGTTTGATTCCCCACTCCTCCACATGCAGCTGCTGGTGTGACCTTGGGTCAGTCACAAGTTCTCTCAGAGCTGTTCTCTCACAAGCAGTCCTCGAAAGAGCTCTCTCAGCCCCACCTACCTCACAGGGTGTCTGGTTGTGGGGAGGGGAAGAGAAAGGAGATTGTAAACCGCTCTGAGACTCCTTCAAGCAGTGAAGGGCGGGGTAAATCCAATCTCTTCTTCTTCTATTGCCACCTTCTGCCAGCACAATGAAGACTTTTTTGTTTCATTTGGCATTCCCTCAGTGATCCTTCCTTCCTAGCCAATGTTGTTATGTCTTGTACGTATTTTTACGCTTGGCTTGGGACCAGGGTATCTGAAGGTCTGTCTTCATCCTTCCAATCCTGCCTGGGAATTAGGGAGATGCCCTCTTAACTGTCCCACCAATTAAAGATGCTCATTTGGTGAGAACACAAGAGAGGGCCTTTTCCGTGGCGGCCCCACAATTATGGAACAACCTCCCCAGGCAGGGGAAGCCCCCTCACTGTTGATCTTCAGGAGGCAGTGGAAGACAGTTTTATTTAGGACCGCATTTGATTGGTTTAGCTTTTGTTATTGGCAGTCCTAAAATGGCATTTTTAAATTGTGACTTTTTATGGCTTTTATAATTGTTATTGTAATGATTCCATGTTTTGGTGTATGTGTGTGTGTGTGTTTAAATGTTGAGTTTGACTGCAGTAATGTAAGGAGAGAGATAGGGGGAGATGAATGTGCTGTGATTGGCTGATGACTGAGAGTGTGAGAAGAGAGATGTTTTTTTATGACAGAGTTCTGTGTGTGTCTTGGGAGTGAGGCAAGTGCGGAAGAGTTTGAAGAGAGTCTATATGGCCAAAGAAACAAGTTGTGTCTATCCTGTGTGGTTATACAAACAGTTTTGCCAGTTATATTTACAAGTTCTTTTTTTTTTTAGTAACAGTTGAAAATAACCACAAATGTATTTTGTTCTTTATTAAATAAATCAATTTTTATTTAAGCTTATCCCAGCAATCAGTACAGTTCTTCCTCAGTCCTCTGAAGTGCCCAGACCCTAGGTCATTCTACCAGCAGATTTGGAATTTTTAATTCCTGGTGGCAGCAGAAATCGATCAAGTTTAGGTACACAAAGCGTGTTTAAAGGTAAAACCGCCTCCCCAATAAGCAAGAATGCCACAGTTATGTTTATTGTGTTTTTATAAAGTTTTACATATATGGCAAGCCGCCTCAAGTCTGGCCAGGGATAAAGGCTGTAAATAAATGTTTTAAATAAATAAACTATGTTTTGTATGTATCTGCTAAACCAGGAATTCTGTCTGTTAGCCATCTTGGAACTGACAAATTTTACTAAGGACTGTTGCTTGCTGGTTTAAATTTTTTTAAACTTATATATTTACTGTGTGTGTGTGTGTGTGTGTGTATTTTAAGCCCCCCTGAACACTGCTCGCAGAGGGGGAACAGCCTAGAAATTTAATAAATAATTAAATTTAATTTATTCAATTTATACCCCACCCTATCCCACAAGTGGACTCAGGGCAGCTTACAACATACAATCCATAAGACAATAAAAACAGTAAAACCGATAAAACAGTCAATGGCACAATAAACAATAAATAAATAGAATATTTAAATGTTTTATGTTTTGAATGTATTTTCACTCTGTTTTTTTTAACTCTGTTCATTGTTTTAATGATGTGTGTTTGGAAGGGGGGTTGATTTTAATGGCTTTCAAGATGTTTTTATCGTGTATGTTTTAATTGTCAGTCGCCTTCCTATCTTTGCTTAAAATATATTTGCTCTGCCTCTCGACACCACGTTCCCAAGGAGACAAACAGTAAAATGGCAGCAATAATTAAAACCACCTGAAAGCTTTGGGGCTGTGTCTAGAGGTCCCTAGGAGCAAAAATCTTTCCTGCATGCCCCTCCCTGACGCAGACCTCCCCTGACCCCAGCAAATTTGGTTCCCTGGCTTCTAGGACATACATAAACTAATAGATGCACGGGTCAGGGGGAAATGCTCTAAGGAAGGGAAAGGAGCAAAATTACTCTTTCCTTCCTCTTCCATCAGTGCAGTTCCACTAATGGAAGAGGCAGAAGAGTGACTTTGTCTTCTTTCCCTTCCATGCCGAAGACCCCGGACTTCAAGAATCCCAAAACGTCAAGAATCAACCTTCCATGTGTCAGATGGGAATGCCGGGGGGAGAGGAAAATGCAGAAAAGATCCATGACACTGACAGATCACTGGATCCAACCCTTTGGCTCAGCTCTGACAAATGTTCTTTGGCTCTAGCAGCCAACTCAGGCGGACTCATATTCCAGCCTTCAGGGTTACCATCATCGCATTATCTAATTATTGCTACCACAAAAAAATATAGTAAATGAAATTTCCAGGCGCCATGGCAACCTAGCGCCTGGGATTTGTCAAGCCCTGCATTAACTGCATAAGAACAATCTACACACAAGGATGAAAAAAACCTGCATATCTCTCCTGCCAAAAGCCCAGAAGGGAACCATGTTCACTGAGTGCCTAACACTCAAAAGAACAGGCACTGTGTCAACGTACACAGGGAAGCTGCTCCATAAAAAGGGATGGAGAAGGGGGGAGGGAGAAAAAGGAAGGAAGGAAGGAAGGAAGGAAGGAAGGAAGGAAGGAAGGAAGGAAGGAAGGAGAAGAGTTGGTTTTTATAGCCTGTTCACTACCTGAAGGAGTCTCAGAGTGGCTTACAATCTCATTCCCTTCCTCTCCCCACAATAGACACCCTGTGAGGTAGGCGGGGCTGAGAGAGTTCTGAGAGAACTTGTGACTGACCCAAGGTCACCCAGCTGGCTTCATGTGGAGGAGGAGTGGGGAATCAAACCCAGTTCTCCAGATTGGAGTCTGCTGCTCTTAACCATTATACCTGAACACAATGGATTGCTGCAAAGTGCAAACAATTAAGAATAATAGACAATAATTAAACAATAGTACTGATGAGCTTCATGATGTTTTAATCTTTGTTTTTCAACAAAAGAGTGCCACCAAACAAAAGATGATGACGTCAAGATGAACGGACGAACCTCCCGAGTTACCGTTCGTTTCGAAGTTTCTTTATCAAACAGGTCTCCTATCAAGAAATAGATACAGCTTATAGCAGGGAACCTATAAGCTGCACTTTGCAGCAATCCATTGTGTTCAGGTGTCATTTCATTGCTGCTCCCTTTGTTGGTATATGATCTTAACCATTATACAACAAAGGCCTTCTGCTTGGTAGCCACTGGTAGTTCACCTCGGAAGAGAGATGTACACACAGCAGCACCTACCCTGATGATCTTAGCTGCTGTGTGGGTTCTTTTGAGAGCAGCCAGACCTTTAGTGATGAAGGGCCAAAGTACGCTTTATGAGAGCCACAGAGCTGGTACCATTCTGTATCTCTTTGCTCATCCTTTTGTCAGACTCTTGAACAAACTTGCTCTCAACAACACTCTCTTGGCAGTGATTTGTTTATTGAGATAAATCAAGGTGGGTAGCCATGATGGTCTGAAGCAACAGAACAAAGTTAAAGGTGCCACTGGGCTATAACTTTGTTCTATTGTTTATTGAGAGATGAGGACGTATCAAGCTAAGACCAAATCTGTGTCTTTTTGGGCACCAGTTCTGACTTTATACATAATTCAAACAAGCACGCACACACCCAGTAACTGGTCCAATCAACCCATTCATACAGCCTGCCTAAATCTAGTCTGCTCCGTTAGCCCTCCTCTCCCCGCCTGCGAACCTACAGTTACATTATGAGCTAGAAGCCAGTTAGCAGAGACTGGCAGTCAAGGTCGTTGTGCATTCTTCCCAGTGTTGGGAGACCTACTTGGAAAACCGTTGCAAAGAACCACGGCAAAGCAGTCACAGACACTCACACAGACCCCCACACAATCGGGCCCCCCTATTCCCCAATGTGAAAGGACAAAGCAACAAAGGTACATCACAGGCAATGAAAAACAGAACATATGAAATCCATGGCAAACTAGGACTAAGGTTTGACACCTTTATTGTAACACATAAGACCAAAACTGAATGATGCAATAAAGTCACAGCGATTAAAGGGTCCTTCAAGGCCATCTAGTCCAACCCCCCTGCTCAAAGTTAGAGCATCCCCTCTAGAGCAGCACAGAACAAAATCTTTGCTTCTATGAGGCAGCCCGTCGGGTACTTAAAGAGGGCGATCACGTCACCATCCCTCTTCTCCAAGATTATCACACCCAAGAGTTTTAATCTCTAGGATTATACTGAATGGTTGAAGTGCTCACAACCCTGTTTCCCTTTGCACCCCACTATGGACAACCACACAGCTATTTTCTGTTATGGATTTCACAGCAATGGTTTAAACTCACTTCGTATTTTGAAACTTCTCCCTCGGAGCTCATCTTCTGGCCAAGGAGCTGCATTGCTTTTAAAACAGACGCTTCGAGCTCCTTCTGAGCCTCTTCAAAATTTAGCTTGACTTCTTGTTCAGATAAAGAGGTTTCAAGGGCAGGCAAACCAGTACGAAGATGGCTAGGGAGAGTCTAGGATCCGAAACGGGACACAACAGAAGCAGAAAAGGCAATGCCTTTGATTTGCAATGCATTCTAAGGTCAACGTAACTGTCTTTACGAATAATTAAGTCCACTGCCTTAAGTGAGTGAGTGAATGTTTATTTGCGGCCAAGGCCATTCTTATAAAAGCCAAAGAGATTCATTCCAGCACAGAAAATATGTTTAGTCATAAAAACTTTGAAATTTTTTATGAAATATAATAATTCAAAACATCTAAGATAGATCTAAAATGTCTAGTATATGTAAAATGATTGCAAGTCATACAAATAAAAAACTATACATGATCAAGCTTCTTATTGTGGGATTTTACCAAGTGGAAGCAGTATTTGGCTATCATTATTATCAGGGCTTTTTTTGTAGAAAAAGCCCAGCAAGAACTCATTAGCATAATAGGCCACACCCAACAGGAACTCATTAGCATATTAGGCCACACACCCTGACAGCACAGCTGACAATATATTAGGCCACACCCCCATGCCTTCCCTTGGCTTGCCTGGGCACCCTTCGGCTGCGGGGAGTCCCGGCAAGCCAGCCCTTGGACAGGCCGGGGGAGGCATTTAAATGCCTCCACGATCCTTCCAGGGGTCCCCCTGGCCCGCCTGCCCCCGAGTTGCCGGGGGGTGTTGCTCCCTAGGCCTTACCTCTGTAGCCACGTACACAGGTTTTGGCTGTAGTGGGCGTGGCCAACTCTGAAGCCAGCCGGAACTCCGTTCCTGTGCGTTCCTGCCCAAAAATAGCCCTGGACTTATAGCTCAAGAGATCTGGGCCATTCCAAACTGCTTCTGTGGATTCAGGTGCTGTTATTTATTTGATTTTGTTCTTATTCCCCCCACTCTTGATGTAAAGGGGCTCAAGGTTGCATTAATGTTCTCCATGCCATTTTTATACTCCTGAAGAGGTCATTTCGGGGGGGAACGTGGGGGAACGCAGTTCCCCCGGGGGAGGTGCAGGGGGGCGGGGCAGATGACGAAGCCCCGCCCCCTGCTTCCGGCCGCCCTGCTTCCAGCCCTCATTCAGCCAGGAGGAGGCAGGAGAAGAGGGAGGGTAAGTTGCTTCCTCCCCGCCTCTCCCCACCCCTGCCTGCCTGGGGCCAGGGAGGTCCTTGGCCCCCGCCTTCCTCGCACTCCCGCTGGCCTTGCAGGTCCACCGCCGGGCCCCTGATGTCAGGGGGTGTGGCATATGCTAATGAGTTATGCTAATGAGTTCCCCTAGCTCTTTTTCTACGAAATGACCCCTGGCTGGAGTGATCAGACACGGGAAAGTCCAACCTTGGCCCGTCGCAACCCGTTTACTACCAGATTTCCCCCGGTGTCTTTTAACTCTGCTTCTGCGGCAGAGCAGAACGGGTTGCCGATGGCTGCGGGGCGCTTCCCAGATGTTGTTGTCTGATCGCGCCCTTTAAATCCACCCGGCTTTCACACCTATGTCAGGTCTAATTGTCCGTATGATCGCAGTGTAGGTTCATTTTTGGGCTGAGAGAACTGTGACTGATAAACGCATATGGTAAGGCAAATGCTTCACCTCCGCATTCTCAAAGGCCACACTCAAAGCCTCCTCTGAGTCATCCGCTGGCTGATCCGGCGCTGCTTTAGTAGGAGAATCCACGCCTCTGTTACTGCCAGCTTCCAACTTAATTTGTTCTTGTTGCATTCTCAGCAATCGCATTTCCTGTAAAACATCAAACAATGTATTTTTAAAAAAACCTTCCAACTGTACCGCCCATTCAATTCATGAGCCCCATCCAAGAATTTATTAGCACACTTGACTCTTATTTATTTCTTCATCAAGACAATGGATTTCTCTTCCATTACAGGCTGCTGCCTGGTTCAGACCAGCCATCATTCTTGATTACATCTAAACTGGCAAACTACAGTTTGCCCTCAACCTTCAAGGAAGAACAGAAACCCACCTTCGGAGCCTGGTTTCTAATCCTGGTTTGGAGGGCAAGCGCAAGCCCTTAGTTTGCCAGCTTCAGATGTTACAGCAAACTATGGTTTAACTGAGCAAGGAATTACAAGATTGGTTCAGTTACGGCTTGGTGGAGAGGACATGACATTGGCAAACCAGCCTCTTTGGTTGCTTTGGGCTGATTTCGCACTTTACAGAGCAGGTGAGTCAGTAGTGTATCCACCATGTCTTTGCCATAATGTTAGAACATAAGGGAACATAAGAGAAGCCATGCTGGATCAGGCCAATGGCCCATCCAGTCCAACACTCTGTGTCACACACTGGCCAAAACCCAGGTGCCATCAGGAGGTCCACCAGTGGGGCCAGAACTCCAGAAGCCCTCCCAATGTTGCCCCTCAAGCACCAAGAATACAGAGCATGGGTGGGTTGGATCCTGTGGTCTCTTCCATTAATGTCAGCCTCTCCCCTAGTGCAAGAAGTAGGGATGCCAGACCCCTAGGTGGGGGCAGGGGTCTCTCACTTTCAGCCCCCACCATGCTGCTGCTGGCCAGAGGCCGGTGGGGGGGATCCCCCCCAAAAAAGGGAACAACGCCAGAAATTAACGCTCTGTGCCTATGGGACCCTGAAGTGATGTGGGCACATCAGGGACATGGGAGGGGAGGCTTGATGCTCTGGTTTTTGGGCAAAACTCTATGGTAGAATCTAATTTTTTTTGCCCAAAAAACAGGGTGTTTCCCCCCGCAATGTGCCTATGTCACTTCCGGGTCACGTAGGCACGTTGCGTTTCCAGCGTTCCTCCCTGCTCCTGGTAAGTGTACCCTTCATTCCCTGCCAGCTGCTCTGAGGGGCATAGCAACCCTAGCAAGAAACCTTCCCCTGATGAAAGACGCACTTCCATTGGTGGAGAAACTTCTCAGTCAGGGGATTGCTCCTGGTACTGGGGTAAAGCACTTCTGTTACTGGAGCAGATTCAGAGGATCCAACCCCATATCTAGAAACACATAGCGGGAACGGGATTCATTTCCCATCCTCCAAACCTTGGTATTTGGAACACTAGAAATTACATGCAAACTGATTCCCAGAAGGAAGGAAGAACTGGTACTGATTTTGTTGTTGTTTAATCAACTGCGAAAAGCTAGTATGGAAATCCTGCCGGAAATGGACTAAATAAAATAAATGCATGGCAACTTACAAACTGTGTCTTCTTTATAAACTTTGCCCATTTTCCATTCAACTTTTTGAGTTCCCCAGAAAGTGCTGAGCCCACCTCCTCATTACTGGCTTCTATCAAAAAGTTCCCGGCCTCGTTTAAAGATCCATGCCGTGAGTTCCAGGCCGCCAGGTTCTCTGTGGGAATCTAGAGGGCAATATTAGAACAGGGACGATGTCTGTAACTCTTCCATTCCATAAAGAGCAACACAAGCCTAACAACCAAAAAGCGAGGCAAGCGTACCTTTTTAGGATGTGCTTTCCGCGTCTCTTCCAGCCAAGCTTTTAGCGAGTGGATGTTCTCTGTATAGACGGCCCATGACGACAAAATCTTTTGCAGAGTTGCATTCACATTAGAAATGTACTCTTTGCACGTGGAAATCTTCAGTTCTACCGTCTTAAATAGCTTGATCGTATCCTGAGGAACAGCACCTAGGAAGTTAAATAAAAATGTCATCAGTTGCTTAGAGAAGTGAAATGTTCTTTCCAGTCTTGACTAATCATAATTTCTGTGTGCAGAAGGCTGCTGGTTTAACCCATTTTACAGAAGAGGAACAGAGGCTGAAAGAGAGTTGCCCAGTGTCTGAAGAAGAGAGCTGCCGTGACTCACAGACACCCATATTGAAATAAATTCTGTTAGTCCTTAAGGTGACACTGGATTTCTGTTTCATTTCACAAGGACAGACAAATACAGCTACCCCTATGAAATCCTAAGGACACTTTCCTGGGAGTAAGCCCCACTGAATAACAGGGGACTTGCTTCTGAGTAGACCCAGTTTGGTGTAGTGGTTAAGTGCACGGACTCTAATCTTGGAGAACGGGGTTTGATTCCCCACTCCTCCACTTGCACCTGCTGGATGACCTTGGGCAAGCCATAGTTCTGATAAGAGCTGTTCTTGGAAGAGAGCAGTTTCTGTCAGAGCTCTCTCAGCCCCACCTACCTCACAGGGTGTCTGTTGTGGGCCCTGTGGGAAAGGAGTTTGTAAACCAATCTGAGACTCCTTTGGTAGTGAAGGGCGGGATATAAATCCAATCTCTTCTTCTACTTCTTCTTCTTCTTCTTCTTCTAGAACTGTTGAGAATTGCTGGGGTTTGAACTCCTAAGATCTGTGGCATGCATCTCACAAACACAAGGTGAAAAACTAAACTTGTGTCTTGACTCGGGGCCTGGAGATCTCCCGCTATTGCAAATGATCTCCAGATTACCAAGATCAGCTCCCCTGGAGAAAATGGCTGCTTTGGAGGGTGGAATCTATGGCACTATACCTTGCTGAGGTTTCGTTGCTTACCCAAATCAGCAGTGTTTATGATTTTGTTCTTCTTCTCTTCACATATGCAAAGTGCCGTTTCTAGCTGAGCGAGGAATCCTTTCTCTTCAACAAAACCCTGGCCAAAATCAAAAGAGAAATTGTAAAGAATTTAGGATTTTAATGTTAATTTTTTTTAAACCTGCAAGAAAGAAAAATCCATAAGCAAATAAAAAGATTTTCCTAATTACTTAGCATCCTCACCCTTTATCTCTGTCTGTCATGGGACTCAAATCTTTATTGTAACCTCGACAGGACTTGCCATTAGACTTGACCACTAGACCACAAAACTTGGACGACAATTTACTGACATTTAGTTGATTATTATATGTTTTACTAGTGCAGAATCATTACCATTCGGATCTCTCTCAGGCTGATATAGATGAAGTCCATAAGTGCCTGTCACATAATCCATACAAACGGCAAAGGATTCTGGGAGATATTCTAGTGCGGCCTTTATGAGGGTAGAAAGGCGGGGTATAAATTCTATTCATTAAATAAATAAATAGTGTGCTCATTCAGGTCATGCACGTTACTGGCCAGGCCTTTCAGGCCTCAAAATCTTCCTGTGCCAAAAAAGTATGTGAGCTTCAGCCTGATTTAAACATGAGGTAAAAGAATTCACCCACGGATTCTGCTTCTCATAATGACCTCAGGCCACTACCCATGCAATAGCAATCTGGTTATAATGAGTCATCCTGTGACCACGGAGTCTCATGGGTGAGGTCTTCTGCCTCACCAATACAGTTGCCAACCTTCAGGTGGGGCCTGTTGATCTCCCAGAATTACAACTAATCTCCAGATGACAGAGATCAGTTCCCCTGGAGATAATGGCTGCTTTGAATGGTGGGCTCTATGACATTATACCCTGCTGAAGGCCTTAACTTCCACAACCTCTGTCCTCCCCAGGTTCCGCCCCCACAAATCTCCACAAATTTCCCAACCCAAAGTTGGCAACCCTAGGCCTACATAAGTCTAAGAGAAACCAGTTCTTCCCTTGTTGTTTCACACTACAAGAGAAAATCAGTAGCACGGTCTAGGTCGTCTTTCTGGCTTTTTCATTCCTGATGTACTTTCAGGGAACCTAGGGTTGCCAGGTCCCCTTGTCACTCCAGCAGGGGGATTTGGGGGGCGTTCCGGGATGTCCCCAACGTGATAACATCACCCAGAAGTGACGTCATCACACTGTGGTTCGAGGGCAAAACTGTATGGTAAAACCGGCTTAAAACCATAGAGTTTTGCCCTCAAACCAGAAATTTCCCAGTGTGATGACGTCACTTCTGGGTGACATCATCACATCAGGGAAGTCATGTGGGGATGCGGCTGTTTGAGGGTGAGCAGAAGCCCTGAAGACCGGGGGAACCCCTGCCCCAACTTGGGGACTGGAAACCCCAAGGGAACCTCTGGATCCCACAGAACAGAGTTAGAAAAACAACCGTCTGAAGAGATTTGGAAAAGAGCAAGAGTCTAGTAGCACCTTAAAGACTAGAGAAATTTGTGGCAGGGTATGCGCTTTCGTGAGTCACTGCTCACTTCTTCTGAAGAGATTTGGAAAGAGGAGGTTGGTGGAAGGGGGGGAAGTGAGGAAAGAACAGATCTGATCTGATAAGAGAGGAAACAAAATGGAGATAACCCATTCTTTCTGAACTGGGGGCAATACTATTGAGTGAAGGAAGCTAAAGACCTAGCCTACAGTTTATACAGCATATTGATGTGGTAGACTTTGAACTAGGGTTGCAAATCTCCAAGTAGTTGCTGAAGATCTCCCGGTATTACATCTGATCTCCAGGCTACAGAGATCAGTACCCCTGGAGAAAATGGATGCTTAGAAGGGTAAAAGCCGCACTTTGGCCGTCCCTTTCTTCCCTCTAGTGGCAGGGGCCTGAGTGAATGATTTATCCCTCGAGAATTGTTTTGGAAAGATCTAACAATCTGGCAAATCTTTCAATCCGGGGGGAGGGGGGGATAAAATTAAATTTTGCCCGAGGCCTATGCCAGACAGAGACTGTGTGAATGATTTGTCCCTTGAGAACTGTTTTGGAAATATCTAACAATCTGGCAAATCTTTCAATCCAGGGGGGGGGGATGAAATGTTTATACCATCCTCACTAGTAGCTGTTCACAGCTTTACAGTGACATCTCCTGGTCACCTACGTGCAGCATTTTAATTCTTGCTTAATTCAGCAAGAACAAGTTCCCAACATAACTCACACCAAGGCATGAGATACAATAATGCTAATGCTTGTTAAAAATGTTTCATGTACATCTTCACAACAACCCTGTATGGTTGGGTGGGTCCACAGCTCTGTGTGTGTGTGTGTGTGTGTGTGTGTCTGTAAAAAAACACAAAAACATATTGTCTTTCAACAGTTGAGCACTTCCGGATAGACACAGATGTGATGGGGAGGAGCTGTGGCTCAGTGGCAGAGCATCTACTTGGCATGCAGAGGGTCCCAGGTTCAACCCCCAGAATCTCCAGTTAAAAGGATGAGGCAGTAGACGATGTGAAAGACCTCAGCCTGAGACCCCAGAGAGCTGCTGCCAGTCTGAATAGACAATACTGGTCAGACCAATGGTCTCATTCAATATAAGGCTGCTTTATGTTGTAGGGCAGAGTTGTGGCTCAGTGGGAGAGCATCTGCTTGGCATGCAGAAGGTCCCAGGTTCAACAGACGTAATCTCCAATCAAAAATAGCAGCTCATGAAAGAGCTTCTGCCAGTCAGAACAGTCAATACCTGCATTGAAAAGACTGAAAGGCTCCGATCACACACAGAAGTTGCCGCGGGATACTCACGGATGCCGGGCGGATTTAACGGGCGCGATCACACAAGCACATCTGGCAAGCGTCGTGCACCCGTTAGCAAGCCGTCGCATCACACCGAAGATCCGGAGTGAAAAGCTACCGCTGAAACTCCACTATTTTACGCTAGCGACGGGCCACAGACGAACGTCCTCCATCTGATCGCTCCAGCGCCGCATGAAGCGCGCCGGAAACGTGCGCCAACAAACTGCTACCTCTGATTCCCTGCCGTTGCGTCTGATCGCGTTCGGCCAGGTCACATGTGCAGTGCAGCGAAAAGCCACACCTCCCCACCGAATTCTCTGGCCAGTGTGGGCGGGACCAAAGTCTAACTTGGATGGGGATGAGGGTCTGAAGCTACATAATGCCACTATGGAAGTCATCGCAAAGGCAAAATTCAAACTTTCTCCCATTGGGAGTAATTCAAACTTTCTCCCATTGGGGAGAAAGTCGAAGTATAAATGAACTAAATAAATAAACGTATTAATCCTTAAGGTTTCAGAAGACTCTTTGTCGCTACTGCAATGGCAGACGAACACGGCTACAACATCGTGGGGATTCAAACCGGGGATTTCTCGGCCTGCAAGAAATCTCTTATCCGTACTACACGGCTAACCAGCCTGCATCTACAAAGAGCCACAAAGCTTACATTCCAGTCTGACAGAAGTGCCTCCACACTCTCCTTGGTCCCATATTTAATGTGCCAGATGTTCAGCATGGACGTCAGTTCCTCTAGGATAGCTGCGCAGAATGAATGGTAGTATTCCACAAGGATGTTGAAGTCGGTAAGCTGAATGTTGCTGAACCTGAAAAGAAAGCGCCAACGTGAATCTG